TCCTGAATAGTCGAGTCCATGAGGGAAGAAGCAGTCAGTATATTCCACATGCACCATGGACATATCTGGCGGTAGGTGTAACTGTCTATCAATCTGCCTGTCTGTCTGTCTGTCTGTCCGTCTTTTGTCTGTCTCTCTCACCTGGATAGTCGAGTCCCTCGGGAAAGAAGTAGTCAGTATACTCCACATGCACCACGGACATGTCCGGCGGTAGATGTAACTGCCGTTTGTCCGAGCACAGGAGCTTGCTGTGTCCAGTCCGCTTGTGGCCCGGCATAGACACCATGTACACAGTCACGTCCTCAACCTGGGGACAGAGTTTTAAACCATTTTCAACAACAATTAGACAGGCTTATATGAGTTTTAAAAGTCATGTTCCACACCAAATGACAGGCATAGACACCATGTATACTGTCACATTTTCCACCTGGGGAGAGAATTTTAAGTCACTTCCACACCATTTAGACAAGCATAGACACCACGTAAACAGTGACCTCCTCAACCTGGGGACAGAATTTTAATCTATTTTCTGCACCAATTAGACAGGCTAATGTAGGCCTTTTAAGTCATTTTCTGCACCAATTAGACAGGCATTAGACGTCTTCCAACTGGGGACAGAGTTCTAAGCCATTTTCAAGACCGTTTAGGCAGGACGTGACAGGATCCCACAGTTTTTTCTTCGTCATTCTCAACACCATTCAGACAAGCATAAACATCATGTGCACTGTCACATCCTCAAACTCGGGGACAGAGTTTTACATCAATTTCAACAATAAGAGACAAAAAATCAGGGGACATAAAAAACGGAAAAAAGACTAAAACAAAGTAAACAAAAAAGAAGAAAAAACAACAGACAAACAAAGCAACCCCTCCCCCCAAAAAACAAACAAACAAAAAACAAACAACAAACAAATAGCTCCTACCTTGAGGACAAAGCAGCTTTCCAGCAGTCTCGTTGACCTCTGACCTTGAGCCTGGTGTGAGGGTGACACCTGGGGTGACCTTGACCCGCCCAGAGAGTTTCTCTGTCCGTGGTTGGGCCCGTGGGCTGCAGAACGAAGACACGGCAGTTCTCAGTTTTAGTTTTAGTAGAAGTTTTACGGCACTCGCAACAGCATAAGGTCATATGAGCGCCAGAAGATTAGAGGTTTCACAAGATAGTAACAAACATTTAAAAAAAGAAGAAAAGGAGATAAGGACGATAGATGTTTGATAGGAAAGAAGAAGCAAACTACACCAGAGCACCCGCCAACCACCCACGACAGTTCACAGCACGAGTACAACGACTTATTGGACGCGGAATAATATGTTTGATTTAACGCCCCTTTTCAACACCCTAAAGCTGTTTTAAAGCTGTTCGGTGGGACCTCCGAAGTCAATGTCCATCTCTGATGGAGTCTCCGGATTTAACGCTCATCTCCCACGGTACCGAGCCATACGGGTCGAGAATCTTAGAACCTCACCAAACTCTCCAGGTTAAAAAAACCATGGTTGAGCATTCGAACCAGAGCCATCTGCTCCGTAGCCCAGCATGACAACCCCAAATGCGCTACCGGAGCGCCCCTACCTATCAACCTTCTAGATAGACACAACATGAAGACATTCTCAAGGCTGAGTCGGAGAAAGATTGTTCTTCCCTGACCTTGACCCCACCTGTCTCCCCCCTCTCTCTCTGTGTCTCTGTGTGTCTCTCTCTCTCCTCCTCTCTGTGTGTCTCTGTAGTTTAGTTTAGTTTGTTTGTTTGTTTGTTTGTTTGTTTGTTTAGTATAGGGTTTTACGGCACTCGCAACTGCATAAGGTCATATGAGGGCGCGGGACACACCTAATACTTTTTCGTTGGTAGGAAATTTTGAATTTTGCCCGGGTGG